ACCTGGGCTCCCAGGCTCCCGGGCTTCCAGGCCCCCAGGCTCCCAGGCCCCCAGGCTCCCAGGCTCCCAGCCCCCCAGGCTCCCAAGCTCCCAGGCTCCCAGGTCCCTAGGCTCCCAGGCCCCCAGGCTCCCAGGCTCCCAGGCCCCCAGGCTCCCAAGCTCCCAGGCCCCCAGGCTCCCAGGACCCCAGGCTCCCAGGTCCCCAGGCTCCCCGGCCTCCAGGCTCCCAAGCTTTCAGGCTCCCAGGCCCCCAGGCTCCCAGGCCCCCAAGCTCCCAGGCCCCCAGGCTCCCAGGTACCAGGCTCCCAGGCCCCCAAGCTCCTAGTCCCCCAGGCTCCCAGGCCCCCAGGCTCCCAAGCTCCCAGGCTTCCAGGTTCCCAAACTCCCAGGCTCCCAGGCCCCCAGCCTAACAAGCTCCCAAGCTCCCAGGCCCCCAGCCTAACAAGCTCCCAAGCTCCCAGGCCCCCAGGCTCCCAGGTACCAGGCTCCCAGGCCCCCAAGGTCCTAGGCCCCCAAGCTCCTAGGCCCCCAGCCTAACAACCTCCCAAGCTCCCAGACCCCCAGCTAACAAGCTCCCAGGCCCCCAAGCTCCCAGGCCCCCAGGCTCCCAGGCCCCCCAGGCTCCCAGGCCCTCAGGCTCCCACACCCCCAGGCTCTCATGCTCCTAGTAACACAAGCTCCCAACGAAAGCAAATGGACTTCTCAATTTTGAATGTATAGCGACGTGAAGTTCGACCCTTCATAGTGGACCGGAAAGAGCATGGCACTCCCTTAGGGAGCCGGAGAAAGCTGTTTACATCGAACTATCCAGTCATAAGAAGCCATTATCCTAATTCTGTAGGAATCAAGACAATTTAAACGTGGAAATCCACTCTGGAAGCAAATGGACTTCCCATTTTCGAATGTACAGCGAAAGTAGTCAAGCGACTGTATGCCGTGCATAAGCAGTCTGGAAAGGATTTGAACTTCATGCTATTTAGCCCAGCACAAGTAATATCCAACCTTGACCACGGATCTGGAGCAACCGCTGACGGAAGAGAAGAAATGAACACTGAACACAACATAACACAAAAATGCAAAATATACACGGACATAAAGTTAAAGAAATGAATACGACTTAGCCAGCTTGGCTGCTGGACTGCCATGCTTGCACAGTCGAACTACCTCGCTCACATAGACCGCGGTTAGCTGCTTGCATGAATAAACAGAATGGTTCCACCTCAAATATATTTGCCGTTGGTGCCTTTCATTTGCGCCAGCCAATCTCTTGGCAGTACAGCGGCGACCCACAGGCAGGATCTGTACCTGTCTCATTGTGCATTGCCACTTATTGCAGCATCAAACTAACAGGTGTTATCGTCTTTGTAATAAATTACCTTACTCAGGATCAAGAGTCTCTGGCTGTGCTATAGTTGGCTCCAGCCCGACCGTACTCTCTAACTATGGTTAACCTCATAGGTCAAATCTCTAAAGATGCTTAAGAGGAATATCACAATGGAAGCCAATGATGATTTTGTGGGTGGATTTGGGATGCAGCCCACGCAGCCGTCGGACAATAGGCGCAGGATGCACGAGGTCCAGCTGCAGCTATGATGCAGCCAACGAATGACAAGTGAGTGGCATCATCAGCCATTGCACTTGTTCATTAGATGAGCGGTACATTTTAAACGTGCCCAGCAACGTTTGCAGTGCTGCTGGTGATAAGGCCACCAAAGCGTTTGAGGAATTCCTGGCCGTCAGTGGAATGGAATATGACGACTTTGCCGAGTTCTATGGCAACTTGGCAACAAAGGACTTCACCATCGCGACCACGCTCCTCATGCCATGGCTGCACACCTGGGCAGCACCAAACCCAAGCAACAACCCAAAGTATGATGTTGTCTCATGAGAAGTAGTAAAATTGGGCTTGCGTGCTAGACATTGCAACTGCTTGCTTGCATGATCTGCAGGACTCAAACGAGGGGGTTGCAACCCCATATGGTAAACTTGCTTCAGCAGGCATGTGTACAGAAGCGAGAAACGGGAGCTGCAGATGGCATCATCCACCAAAGCTCTGCCTACGATGAAGAAAGGTGACATAAGCATGATGCCGCTCTGCCTGAGATATGGGTGCCGGTTAAGCCATTGAGGATGGAGGCATATGTTGGCTACTGGCTCATATCACGGGGCATGACACGTGAATAGTGACCACTGGTGAGTTGTTCTCTGGGGGAAATCATGATGTAACAGGTTGATTAAGGCAACTACCCAGGTTTAAACAGGAAGAAGCCGTTGAGGAAGTATGTTGGTTACTAGCTGATACACGGAACTAAGACTTGGGAATGGTGAGATGTTCCCAGCTGGGGAAGTTATGATGGAATGGGTTGGTTTTAGGCAAGTATCCTAGTTACGACCTGAGTTCGATTCCCGGGCATGCTTTTTCTGCTTGGGAGGTGATAGCTGTGACTACAAGTATCTACACAGTTACGTTCATCACTCTGATTTTGAGGGGGGGTAATTGTCATTCATGTGCAAGCAAACAAGGGCAACTGCAGTTTTTGGATTTTGTGTCAAATTACCTCTTGCTGCATATATTCTGTATGGAGTCTCCTATACAGGGTTTGGGTGTATTTAACTTCTGATGGGCATGTTTGTCTGTCTACAGGGCCCACCCAGCAACCTGCAGCTGCTGTGGACAACACCACATGCTTTCCCCACCACACATCAGCACGCAGAGTCAGTGGAGGGTTAAAGCAGTAGTAAGGTGTGTGGCATAAAACTGCATTCTAAGTTCCACATCACAGTCATTGCAGTTCTTGATGGTCTGACAAAGGTGCTATTGTATGCCCCTGCCTGATCTTTGCTGCATACAGGCTCACAAGCTGCTTGTGGAGGACTGCTGCTGCAGCAATGTCTTGTAGTGTTAACTAACAGCGATAGAGGACTAATACTAGGCATGACTACCAGAAGGTGTTAGGGTGGATAGTGCATGTGACCTATGATGTAGCATGTTTTGAGGCAAATTTTGTTGAGAGATGGATGAGCTGCAGCTGGATGCACCCAATATGAAACTGTTTGGAGCTGTTTAGAAGCTTCTGCTGCAGCAGCTGCTGCATACAGGCTCACAAGCCGCTTGTGGAGAAGCTACTGCTAGCAGCAGCGCTGCTGCACTGTACAGTCACTGTACAGACTTGTCTTGGAGTGTTAACTGACGGTGATGGAGGACTACTTCTAGGCATGAATACCAGAAAGTGTTAGGGTGGATAGAGCGCTTCTGAGCTATAATGTAGCATGTTTTGAGGCAAATTGTTGACAGATCGATGAGCTGCAGCTGCAGCAGCCGCTGTTGTGGAAATGTTTGGTGCTGTTTGGAAGCTGCAGATTGTTTGGAAGCTGCAGCTGCTTCAGCTGAAGCAGGCAATGCATATGGCTTAATGTTGTTACATAGCAGGACTTGGGAATTTCGTATGCATGTAGCTGCTGCTAGGCGACGTGTATATGTAAAATTATGAATCCACGTACATCCCTACCCCTATGGCAGCCAAACGACGTGTTATGGAGAGACGGGTTGCGGCACAGTTGATACCCCGTAGCGGCCCAGTGGCGGGGCAGTAGCTCGTGTGGGAGCACTGCCCCGCTACTGGGTCGCTACGGGGTCGCTACTGGGTCGCTATGGGGTCGCTATGGGGTCGCCACGGGGTCGCTATGGGGTCGCTACGGGGCTCAGGAGTAACTAGTCCAGTTGCTAAGGGGGGGGGCCGTAACACGCAGTTTGGCTGCCATAGGGCATGTCCACAACATTGAATAAGCACTGGTCGGTCCCTCCATATTCACCATGCAGGAAAACATCGTGCACGACACCGACAAGGTGTCCGTCTTCATTATGCACAGGGTGAACAACAGCAAGAAGACCTCCATGGTATTGCCCAGTGGTACCATTAAGGTTGGCAAGGAGCTAAAGAAGCACACGGTCGTAGAGCTTCCAGTGCAGAGCCTACTTGGCAGATTCAACAAGCAGCAGGTCAAGGAGTGGGCTTTCTCCCATGGCTGCACAAATGTTCTATGGAATGACTCCATGGTCCAGTACAAGGGCAAGCTGGCGTTGGTTGCTTAGACAGGTTCCATGATGAGCAGGGATACAGAGAAAGTGGGCAGCTGCAGTCTAGGGCCACATATGTGGTTCAGTGGTGTGTAGTAGGTGTTCACTAGGAAAAAAGGAAGCAGTGCAGTAGTAGTGTGGAACAGGTCACAGGTGAAGGTTGATGAAGAACATGTATGTATAATTGCATGCCAAGACAAGGTACTGATATTGCTGTGAT